CCAACCACCAGATGGGGCTGTTGGTCTGGACATACTAGCTTCTTCTCATTACGAAAGTATGAACTATTAATACCTCTTACTCATTATTGGGATAAAAAAAAAAACTCTCACTGTTGATTCAACCAATCAGCAACACATTGAATTACACTAAGCGGAGTCATGAACAAAGTTGGAGTAAAGTAGAAGAAGAGTGTGCTACAGTCTGCTATTTATCTATGTGCAGTGGGTATAGACAAGAATCACTTAAAAGAATCACATTTTGTTGCTTTGTGGCCTGGAATGAAGACGGTTTTGTTTTATCCAGCTGTATTTACTCGATGCAACTTATAACATCAAAGAGGAACATATAACACCAACATGTCAAAAACAGAGTTGAAAAAAGGATCACTCCCTTGTGTCAGTATTTTGTTGGACCAACCTTTGCTTTAATTACAGCCTTTAGTATGTTGGGATTTGTCTCCACTAACTTTGCACATCTAGACTTTGCAATATTTGCCTGCTCTTTCTGTATTTACCAACCACCAGATGGGGCTGTTGGTCTGGACATACTAGCTTCTTCTCATTACGAAAGTAAAACACTGTTCTTTTTTTTTTTTACTATTAATACCTCTTACTCATTATTGGGATTAAAAAAAAAACTCTCACTGTTGATTCAACCAATCAGCAACACATTGAATTACACTAAGCGGAGTCATGAACAAAGTTGGAGTAAAGTAGAAGAAGAGTGTGCTACAGTCTGCTATTTATCTATGTGCAGTGGGTATAGACAAGAATCACTTAAAAGAATCACATTTTGTTGCTTTGCGGCCTGGAATGAAGACGGACACAGTTTTTGTTTTATCCAGCTGTATTTACTCGATGCAACTTATAACATCAAAGAGGAACATATAACACCAACATGTCAAAAACAGAGTTGAAAAAAGGATCACTCCCTTGTGTCAGTATTTTGTTGGACCAACCTTTGCTTTAATTACAGCCTTTAGTATGTTGGGATTTGTCTCCACTAACTTTGCACATCTAGACTTTGCAATATTTGCCTGCTCTTCTTTGCAGAATTGCTCAAGTTCAGTTTATTTACCAACCACCAGATGGGGCTGTTGGTCTGGACATACTAGCTTCTTCTCATTACGAAAGTAAAACACTGTTCTTTTTTTTTTTTACTATTAATACCTCTTACTCATTATTGGGATTAAAAAAAAAACTCTCACTGTTGATTCAACCAATCAGCAACACATTGAATTACACTAAGCGGAGTCATGAACAAAGTTGGAGTAAAGTAGAAGAAGAGTGTGCTACAGTCTGCTATTTATCTATGTGCAGTGGGTATAGACAAGAATCACTTAAAAGAATCACATTTTGTTGCTTTGTGGCCTGGAATGAAGACGGTTTTGTTTTATCCAGCTGTATTTACTCGATGCAACTTATAACATCAAAGAGATATAACACCAACATGTCAAAAACAGAGTTGAAAAAAGGATCACCCCCTTGTGTCAGTATTTTGTTGGACCAACCTTTGCTTTAATTACAGCCTTTAGTCTGTTGGGATTTGTCTCCACTAACTTTGCACATCTAGAGAATGAAGACGGACACAGTTTTTGTTTTATCCAGCTGTATTTACTCGATGCAACTTATAACATCAAAGAGGAACATATAACACCAACATGTCAAAAACAGAGTTGAAAAAAGGATCACTCCCTTGTGTCAGTATTTTGTTGGACCAACCTTTGCTTTAATTACAGCCTTTAGTATGTTGGGATTTGTCTCCACTAACTTTGCACATCTAGACTTTGCAATATTTGCCTGCTCTTCTTTGCAGAATTGCTCAAGTTTAGTTAAATTTAATGGTGACTGTTTGTGGACTGCAGTCGTCAAGTCATTCCACAGATTTTCAATGGGGTTTAAGTCTGGGCTCTGACTAGGCCATGCAAGAACATTCACTTTTTTCTCCTTCAACCACTGTGTGCTCAGTTTTGCAGTGTGCTTTGGTGTCATTGTCATGTTGGAAGATAAAAATTCCCATTGACAACTTTCTGGCAGAGGGCTGCAGATGTTCCTCAAGAATTTGACGGTATTTCTCCCCATCCATTTTTCCTTCTATCCTGACAAGTGCTCCAGTCTCTGCTGCAGAGAAACACCCCATAACAGGACATTACCACCTCCATGCTTAACTGTAGGAATGCTGTTATTTGGATGGTGAGCTGTATTGGATTTCTGTTAGACATATCGTTTTGTGTTGAGGCCAAATAATTCAATTTTAGTCTCATCTGCCTCAGAATCTTCAAGGTGCGTTTTGGCAAAGCTCAGTCGTGACTGCATGAGTTTTCTTGCAACCCTCCCATACAAGCCACATGTGTGGAGAATTTGTGATACTGTTGTCACGTACACACAATGACCACTCTTTGTCATAAATTCCAGCAACTGCTTAGTTGCTGTAAGCCTCTTGGTAGCTTCTCTGACCAATTTCCTCCTGGCTCTTTCATCCAGTTTGGAGCGACGTCCTGATCCAGGGAGGGTCTGTGTTGTACCAAATACCTTCCACTTCTTGATTACAGACTTCACTGTGTTCCTTGGCATTGATAAAGCCTTTGATTTTTTTTTTTTGGTATCCATCTGCTGGCTTGTGCCTGTCCACAACTTTATCCTTTTGACAGTACCTTGCCACCCATAGTTGATTGTTTGCTTCAGTTGCACTACCAAGGACTGAAATGCTTCAGGAAAACTATTTCCATGCTGAGCTAATCAAAATGAACACTGCAGCTGATCACAGTAGAAAGTCAAATGGCTTTGTGTGCCATTGAGAAGGTGATTAGCTACACCTGATTGAGTTTACAAATCGGTTTCCAACTCAGTGATTCTTTTTTTCTTCTTCTGACATGTTGATGTTATATCTTTCACTTGGATGTTATAAGTTGCTCTGAGTACATACAGCTGGATAAAATAAAAACTGTGTCCGTCTTCATTTCAGGCTGCATAGCAACAAAATGTGATTTTTTTTTTAAAGGACATATTTTAAACAGTATTTACCTCTGTTTTACACCTGGCACATGTCTTGATCTATGAATCATCAGTAAAAATGCTGAGAACAAATGCTGTTGGTTCACACTCTCCACTTATATTCACCCCAGATGCTACATACATCATCTCTAGGAAAACTATTTCCATGCTGAGCTAATCAAAATGAACACTGCAGCTGATCACAGTAGAAAGTCAAATGGCTTTGTGTGCCATTGAGAAGGTGATTAGCTACACCTGATTGAGTTTACAAATCGGTTTCCAACTCAGTGATTCTTTTTTTCTTCTTCTGACATGTTGATGTTATATCTTTCACTTGGATGTTATAAGTTGCTCTGAGTACATACAGCTGGATAAAATAAAAACTGTGTCCGTCTTCATTTCAGGCTGCATAGCAACAAAATGTGATTTTTTTTTAAAGGACATATTTTAAACAGTATTTACCTCTGTTTTACACCTGGCACATGTCTTGATCTATGAATCATCAGTAAAAATGCTGAGAACAAATGCTGTTGGTTCACACTCTCCACTTATATTCACCCCAGATGCTACATACATCATCTCTAAAGACAAGGCATTCAAATATTTTTTTATTTTCTGTAAAAGGATAAAGAGAGGGTCAGCCTAAAACAAAATAAACAAGAGATAAACGTCTTCACACAAACAGCAGCACTCTGAAAATCTCAAATGTACAAAACACATTCCTAAATTCAGATTCATCTTCATATTTGGCATAACTTTCAATTAGAATATAAAACACCATTTATCACACTCTGGTGGATTTACGCATGGAAAATCACTTTGTGACCTAGCGGGACATGAGGCAGGGAAAAGGGTGCCCTTTTACGCAACTTGAGTTTGTTTGATGCACTTCTGGCAATAATTACAGCCGCAGAGCAGCTCCAGAACAGGCCGAATGAAAAGATCCAGACACACAGGACAAGACAGAGTCTTAAAAAGAGTGTTCTACTTTTCAAACATGCTAAACACTTTTAAAACTTAATGTGTTATCTTGCCTTATTCAAAAACTGGAGTTAGCTGCTGGGCAACACTTCAAAAACTACACAATCAGAATTATTATTTGCGGCATTAGCTGACCCGGATGACCTCAGTCTAATTTATGTTTTCTTTCATGAAATAATGATCCACACACATGCAAATAAATATGATTTATTTAGAAGTTTAATAAATAAACTTGCTTAATGGAGGCAAAGTTGAATTAATATGTTAATAAGACAGTGTGCCAAAGGTAACATTTGGAATGTTAATTTTATAGACTTGAATGAAAATCGAATAAATAAAAAATAAGCAGTGCTTTGGAAAAACCCACAATAATCTATCTTTAGGATTTGGACATGAAAACATCTTACAATTCTTCCACAGACATGAATGAATAAACATGTATTCTGCTGGCTACATGATATTTACTTAAAAAGACAATGATAACATTTTAGTTGACAAATGAGGTCAGTTTCAACACCACAGTGTTATCTAGTACTAAAACACCACATGACAAACATATTTGTACATATTTCTTCCGATTTGTTCTTTTTATGTTAAAGAAGCAGCTTAGTAATAAATAATGCCAATAAAAGGTAAAGAGCATCCTGCAAAAGCCTGTCTACGAGGCAGTATTTTGCTTCATTCTAGCAGGAATTGTATTGATACATTCTCAATTTATTTTTCAAAATTGTGATCAAGCCCATGCTGAGCTAATCCTAATGTAAACTGCATTGCATTATGAATGAAAGCATTCAGTTGTCCTCTATTATACCTTAAATACAAACCTTTTTGAAACCTTAAATACAAATTGCAAAGGCAAGAATCAGCAAATCTGGCAATTTGCTTCATTCGATAAAAGCATTAATAAGTGTATCATAAAATGAGATGTTGCACAGAGATATTATTTGGTTCAATAAATATTGAGGTACGTCTACAATTATCTCTCTATTCAAGCAATATTATATGACAAAACACATTTTCATGAGAATCCTCAGTTCGTTAGAGCAAAACAAAAGCATAAAAAATAAACATGACATACTTATTAATAAATAGTTTCCTCAGTTAATAAATATTGTGTATCAAAAATAAACTATTACGAAAAACAAATTAGAAAAATAGCCTAACATAACCTTGTGGCACACACATGTATGGCAGTACTTATTGTTCTCACACAAATAAAAAAATTTACAACACATTTTTTTGAATGAGCAATCGTGGCAAAGATACCACTGAAAAACAGTAAATCTGTTAGTTTGTCTCTCTGTGTTTGCTTGATTTTTTTCTTCAAAATCACAGTGCAGACGCCAGATTTCAGTTTCTCACCCTCTTGATCAGTGTACACGGAAACAGTGGCAGGTCAGCTCAAGATCCTCCATTGCTTTTGTTCTCAAATCATTGAGGACAGGGATCATGACGTCTTTTAGAGTCTTATAGCTTAACTGCCCGTTCTCTGAATCTGAGGAAATCTAGATTAGACAAAGATTAGAATCACATAATTAGGATAAATAATCTAAAAAGTATCAAACCTTACTTGGTGAAAAAAAAACATCTTCAATTGCCACCAGTAGTCTCTTGTGAAAATGTTTTGTGGCCATGACTTACCCAAGTAAATGCTTTGATTGTGCGTTCAAAAAAGGCATTCTCAACCTCTTCTGGTATTTGAAGCAAATGAGCAGCGCAGTCAAGAATACACAGAAGGGTTTGTTTTTGTCCCTAAACAACATAAAAGCACACACACAGATGTTTCAGTGTACACATAATCCATTTAGATGGTGAAAAAGGAACATTTGTAATAAAATATACTCTAAAGGAGTGGTTCTCAACCAGGGGGCGTCTGCAAACTTCCAGATAAGCTCCGGTAAGTCTTAATAGTAATTGAATTTAATTATGTTAATCTTAGTCATGATGAAATGGAAGTAGCAACAGATCCTTTGTTTTCAGTATTTTAAAATACATCCGGGTGAAACAGATTATCGAAAATGTAGGATGGGGACTTGGTTCTATCAAATGGTTGTTCATTGGATTTTGAGATGCGAGCGATGCACTCAAAATTGGCATATGAACCTGAGTCACCAGAAAGAAGTCTGATACTTTCATCACAAGGTCCAGTTATGGAATTTTGAACAATGAAAGAAAAGAAACATATGCACAAATTATATTGTTCACAACAAGTTTTATAACATGCATTTAGAAAATAGGGAGAATTTTCATTTCTTTTTTCACTCTTCACATTGTTTCAAAACAGCTTTATAGAAAATCATGATGCTAATGTTTATAATATCTTAATATCTTCAAACCTTATAGTTGCATTTCGCAGATTAGAACTGGGCGATAATACAGTTTACATTTTGTGATTATACAAGCAATCAAGTAGTTGAGGTATGCTATATAGTGTATATATAGTGACTATAAATGAACTACGCGAGTATACTGTATGTGTACGGATAAAGTTGAGCATACCAACTTTATATAAAGAGCTAGACGATAATATAGTTTTTTACATTTCACGACAACAAAATCAGGCAGTTGAGATTTGCTATACAGTATATATTGCTTTCTCTGAGTGTACTGTATGGAAGAGAATAAGGTTGGATATAATGCAAATTATACATTTTTAAAACTTAAAATTAAAATGAATCAACATGCAAAAAGAAGTACAGCATAGGTACAAATCAGCTTACATAGGAGGGCTTTCAAATATTGTCTTGGAGGCCTTGGAGTAAAAAAAGTGGAGAACCACTGCTCTAAAAACACTTTTTCATGTGGCTTGATACCTTGTCGAGTGAATTCAGAGCATGTTGGGGATTAAGTCTGTTTCCAGCCAAAGTCTCAACATCCTCTTTTGTGATGACTGGCTCCTTTAGTTGTTCTAGCCAAGACCACATGAGCATGGAGAGCACCACAGGATCTCTCTCGGTGCACAGCCTTTCCCATACACCTTCACGGGAGTTCAGCTCTGTCTGAGGGACAACCGCAATTGCAGAAACAACTGAAAGTTACCGAGTGAATATCTGAGGTTGTGTTATAGAAGAACAGGATATGGAATTGAAGTTCTTAGACTCAATTCTTCCGAAAATATTTCTAATATTGCTCCCTACCTGCCACGTTGAGACTGTGCTCCTGAGATCTTCTCCATCAATGTCCATCGTAAGAGCTTTGGCCACAAACAGATGACGAGTCTCAGGTGAGAGTTCACTTTGAAGCGTTAAAATAGGAACATCTGTCAACTGTTGTATGTCATCATAGGTTGTGTTTTCATTAGGGCTGAGGTGACTTTTGCCAACTTGACGTGTTGAAAACATGCTGTCACTGGTCCTCCCCAGAAAGCCATAGGACATGCTGCGCTTTGTCTCCTTCGGTGGTGCCCGTTTTACGGAGACAGGAGAGCAGGATACTTGGCCTTCAACTTTTTTGGATTGGACCAGGGAGCTACAGGAACCAGTTGAAGAGCCATGTTTGGGACTGTTGTTGATTTCGGATGTCAGAAGGTCAGGGGTTTGTTTAGCTAATCTGCTCTGCGACACATAAACTTCAGTAAAGTTTAACCCAGATTTGATGCCAAAAGCATTCTGGGGACTTTGTAGTACCTGCACCCTGGGGTCCAGTTTGTTCAAGGCTGAGTCACTATAGCTAAGACATTTCCTCAAGATGAGCTGAGACTTGTAGGTATTGTCTACCGTCGGCCATCTCCAAAGCACATCAAATTCCTGGTCGCTACAGAGAGGCCGGTCATGAGGTGGATCACATTGGGTTTCTTTAAGAAGCAAGCTGGGTTGGTCGGGAGAGCGAGGTGAGGATATGGGAATCCCTTTCCCCCTCATCTCTTTCCCTAACTGCTGAAGGGCTTGCAGCGAAACTGTCTTCTCCACTTCCTCTGTGAGGTCTGGGATGTCCAACACATCCTCTTCCCCCGTTTGCCGGTCCTCTGCTATGTCCAGAAGGAACCTGCAGACCAGGTGTACGATTTTTGGCACGTTCTTCATGAGACGTGCTTCATAGCCATGCAGCAGGTGCCGCTGACGAGTCAGGTACTGAGACAACGTGACCATGTGAGCTTTGGGCTCTGCACATGAGAAAACACTCCGCAGAGGCACAAGGAACTGGGCGAACTCTCGCACACACAACAGTTGGCCACGAGTCTGGATGGAATTTGGACGTTTAGCTCTAACAAACAAAATGGCCTGATCTGCACTCATCCGGGATGTGAATACTAAGAAGCATGCTATTAAGACACCTAAGAGAGGACGAATGTGCATTAAGGGTAGTTAATAATCAGATAAATGTATAAGGATTTAAACAAATCTATTGCAGTTATCTTCTGAAATTCTTAAATGATCACAGCAAAATTTTCAAGAGAATCAAGATACTTACCTGTTCTGCCAAGTCCAGCATGGCAGTGGACAGCCATTTTTCCCTCTTGCACGGCAAATGACATCACCTTCACCATGTCAAGGATAGTAGTCAAGGATGCCACGCCGTAGTCCTTCCACCCGAAGTTGTAAAAATAAACTGGAAAAAGCCAAATGTATGTCTCTTAAGATGAAAAAAAAGTCTCTAAAAATGTTATTCAAGAAATGCAGTTCAGACAGCATACATTTTTTGCTATCTATTTGCTTTTAGCATGTTTATGTTGCTTCATTTATAGATTTATTGTCTTAACCTAGTCTAAAACCCAGACTTTCAACCTTAAACTATTCATATTCATCATAAACATGACTTATTACATGTTCAAAACAATGATAATCAAAGTCAAATAAACCATTTCAATATTTGTGTAAAAATTGTCATTTATATATTTGTGTACTTAATAATTGTTTAAAAAATGTCACATGTCCCAAAGCTGTTTTTTTCCTTAAGTTAGTGCACTTGTTTTCCAAGAAGACTATTAGAGTATCACTTGTAAACTTATATTTTTGCTGTGTATCACTTCCAATTTACAAGCTGTAATTTTAATTTAAACATTTTATTTAGGTTACATTAAATGCTAGCTAGGAAAATAATCTTAGCAAAACAAAGGAGATATTTTATTTTAAAATGATGAAAAATGTCATTTCCACCACCGTCATTTCAATCCCAGACTGCTAAACACAAAACATAATTTGTGATGTGGTGGAAATGACACTGTAGTGGAATTTTTCATTATAGATTACAAAAAACAGGGCCAAATAATCCCATAGTTGAAGAAACACCTCTACATGTTGTCTATTTTTATGTAAAACCATATTCTGTTCTTTCTGGATAACTGGGAACATAAATTATAAAACACACATAGGATCTCTCATCAGTGCTGACTCTTCTTTAATTTGAGAGACGCTTCATGCATGTTTCGACATGCAGCGCTCTTTGGAAATTGTGCCTTACATAGTTTCCCAGAAGGTGCTGTCTATAAGCACAGCACCACTCTCAGGAGATCTTGTTAAAGGCTGCCAATCCCCCGAAGCCTAAAACTCCTGCAAGCACGATCACTTCACGCATAGAAAGCAAATATTGCATAAAAGGTTCTTTAGTTTGTCTAACACATTGACAAATTAATGTGATAATAGTCAGGATTTATCCCAGCCTGATTCCCCCGACCACTGAGAGAGGAAGAGGTGTATGATGTTTGTGTGCATGTGTGAGTTACTCACTCCCTGCCTCCATGAAAACCTCTGGGCGATAGGTGAAACCGCTCTCTGACTCCAGAGTGCTGCCGCAGCTGGCGTGTTCCCCTGGACGCTGCAGGTTAATTACTGTCTTTAAGCCACACCTAGAAGGAAGTAAGATTAAGCATCAGCAAAGCAGTCTGTGGTCCATCTTGGGAATCAGTTATTGGTAGCTTGCCGCTGAGCTTACTCATACAACATACTCATGAAACTGTTCGATGACGTTGAATTTTTCAATGGTTTCAGTTGAAGGTCTTGCCATGGCTAACAGGTTATCAGTTATCCTGTAAAAAGAGTATAAGTTAAATATCAACAAAATATCTGACTCAATAACATTAATACAAATATTACAAAATAAGAACAAAAAGAAAAGCAAATGGTTAATATGCGAGCAATTTTTTTATTGTCATATCAGTATAAAAGGCAATATCATATTATTCATAGAAAATAAAATAAAGGAAATAATAATAAAAAAATTGTCGCCCAGAATTGACAAGCAGTTTAGAGATTGGATGGAAAATAAAATAAATTAACCAAGGTTTATTTGTTTGTTTGTTTACCTTATCAGTATCAAAGGAAAAAAATTAAATAAACACATAAAAATAAAATAAATAATAATAATTTGTATTTTATAATATTTTTATAATATAACAGATTTATTTTATAAAATTTGTATAATATAATAATTTTTGTTTCTTTGTTTTTTTGTCATATCAGTATCAAAGGCTATTTTTATGAAAAAATATAATAAACAAATTAAATGTAATGGATTCAGTTCATTTAAATTAATAGTGTAACATTTTTGTTGCCTTCGACTAACAATATATCTGAGTTTCGAATTGTTTAGGACTAGTACAAAATATTTTAGC